GGGGGGGGGGGTCCTCATTTAATTTCAAAACGTTTAACATTTCTAAGAGTATGTCTGTATATTTGCAACTCTAAAAAGTTTTAAAGGATGGTATTAATTCCTTCTGTTTTCATTACAGAGCTATATAATAAACAAACAAAAATGCCCTCAAATGGTGTCTATGCTACCATTCCAAGAGCACAATATTTGTTTGGTAGAATTAGGTTTTTGCTCGTGAGTGAATTCCTCGCTGAGGAAGAATTAGCACTTTAGAAGGCATCCACGCGTTGTCGATTGCCAAGAGAGCTTTGTACTGTTCGGACCTAATGCGCACAGAAAGAGGCTGATGCTTTTTCTCCAGTGCCGAGAATGGAAAGGAAGTAGAGAGTATAGATTATATATAACTATGTGCAGATAAACTGGAGAGCCAGACTTCTTCAGAGATGGGTACGGAGATCACACTAATAGCGGACGGACGACGCTTCCTCACTCTGGGTAATCGTTAGTGTGTCCGCCAAGGGTAACGCACTTACCCAGCAGCGTTACAAGGCAGCTGTAAGCACAGTACATGCACTGGCACATGAACAACTATAGCAAAACACAATTTTGATGGCAATGTTATTAAGTGCAAAAATCAAGACCATAATGTGGTCTTTTTTTTTTTTTTTAATCTTAAAATATGTACATAGGATGACCAGTTCTGATATTTGTTCCTGGTGCATGAGGTGTTTAATGGTAAGTATCCGTTAACGCTGCCTAGGTTCTTACTTACAGAATGAAGTGTGTATCGTATTTTTACCTGATAATTCAGTTTTGCAAAAGGACTGTAGAAATAGGTAAATTATGTTTATTTATTAGGGGCAAAAATACATTTTCACCACATTATGCTGATTTAAAATACTACCTGATTCTTAATTTTTAATTTATCTTTTTTTCCTATACACCTTTAACTTATATTGAAAAAATAAGTCACTGTAATTGTGACAAATTACATCTGCAAAAAATACAATATATCAGATGCATAGAGGAAAAAGTATACAATCAGAAAATAACCTTTTGAATGCCACCTAAATTTCTTAGGTCTAAAACTCCTATAGCTAGAACCCTATAAAACATGAATTTTGAAAACTTTGCACTGCACACGTTGGCAAATTATTGTGAAAGGCGGTAAAGATATTTCCAGAAAAATTTCTAGCATCTGTATTTATATTGACAGTTGTGACAGTTAATTTTCAAAGTATACTTTTACAGAGTCTTGCATTTGTGTTCTTTTCAGTTCTTTATAAAATTCTGACCAACATGTTAGTTCTCCTTAAGAAAATAGTATTAAATCTGTAAAAATTTTAGCTCTTCCTCACTTGCTACAACTGCAGGTATTTATCAATAAAACTGATACCAAAACTTGCTTCAAATCTTCCCTGTAACCCTCTTAATAGTATCCTTGCAACACACAACAGATTGTTAAGCTTTAGTTCCAAAGATGAGGCTTTAATTATAAATTTGATTTCAAGCTACATTTCTTTCCTGTGACTATGGGCAAATCATTTATCCTGGGCATGTTTCCTCATCTTCAAATGAGGAATATACTTAATTTACAGGATAGTCATAAGAAAGAAATGAAATAAACATGGAAAGAATAAAATATCACATATTACTATTTTAACAAAGTTCTCCAACTCAATAATGATGACCATTTTCAAGAATGTATTAAATGCCATTTTAATGCACTCGTCCCACATTTTTTCAAACCATACTTTAAAAATATGATGTAGTTATTCATCCAAAAGGATACTACCAAGCTTATTTTCAGATGGAGTAATAGATGTTATTGCTTTGTTCAATAATGTGATTCAAAATCACTGTTTTTAGTTGATCAACATCACCCTGAATCTACAATCAAGTAAAAAAAAAATCACACACATACACATGGAGATATAAATATAGTTAGATGTGTGTATGTGTGTGTGTATACTATAGGTTTAAGTCAAAATTTAAATAAGAGAAATCACTTGAAAATTTTATTTCCTTTGGAAATAAAGCAACATTCCCAAGCATAGGAAGAATACAAATATCAAGTAATTTGCCAAATAAATATGCGGGGACTAGAATTAAAATTAAGTTATCCAGACTGGATATTAGAAAACACTGATATTGACATGGACTAGAAAGAATTTTTTAATATTAAAATAGTATGATTTTTAAAATTTTACCATGAAAATATGAAAATAAAAGGCATTTGTATGTTCGTAAAATTTTTCATCAACCTTTTGTTTTTGAATCGTTTCAGATTTGCAGGAAAATTGCAGGTAGGACAGAGTCTCCATGTACAGCACACCCATGAGATAGCGAACCAATAGTGCATTAAGTCTACACGTCCTTCGGATCCCTTAGTTTCTACCTTTCCCTGTTCCAGCATCCCATTCAAGAAGCCACATTACATTTAGTCATTTGTCTTTAGTCTCCTCTTAGCTGTGACAGTTTCTCCAACTTTTCTTGCTTTTGATGACTTGGACAGATTTGAGGAGTACTGGTCTAGTATTTTGCAAAACGTCCCTCCATTGGAATTTGTCTGATGTTGTCCCCATGGTTAGACAGGTGTTCCTGGTTTTTGGAAGGAAGACCCCAGAAGTCAAGTGCCATCTATATCGTATGATATCAGAGACGCATACCATCATCAGGACTTGTCTCTGGTGATATTGGCTTTAATCAGAGGGCTGAGGTCGTGTTCGTTAGGTTTCTCGACCATAAAGTAATAGAGTTTTGAGAGGTTACACTGCATGTAAATTTACTGGACGTTTACGCTGAGCTGAAAAAAAAGTTATGAGAGAAAGATTCCTCAGCGTTACTGGGAGGTTCCATGAAATCATCGCTAACAAATCCTTTGGAGAAAATACAATGAACTGAAGAGTGTTAGCTCGAATACTTATTTCATGGAGGTGAAAGTGGAGTTTTTCCTTTTAGTATAATTACCTTAATCCTCTACACCTCTTTCGTCGTGAAGACTTTAGTCTTACTAATTGTCGTAACAGGTAATTTAAACTGATCATCATTTCGCTGAGTTTTCCCATACTGCCCTCCAATGAACAATAAACGCTGAATATCGAAATAATGTAAAAGACTTGACTTTTTTCCCTTGCTTTAACCTGTGTGTCATAAACACACCGTTTCTTGTATATGATTGTAGTAAGTCTGCTAAATATGAAAAATAATTTCAGTGTGTTTGGTTCTGTGAAGTTTATCATGTTGAGTGTGTGTCGTTTTCTCCCTACCATGGTCACTGTACTTAATCATCTCTCTATTTTGGACTCCACCAGTCTCAGTGGACCTAAGGAAACTGTGGGCGCATGGAGACAGCTTGAGAGGTGCCATGCTTGGTGGTTCTGTAATGCCGGAGTAACTAGGCACCTATACACTGAATCCAGACTGTTTTTCCTCCAGTTTGAGTTGTTTTGGGTTTTTGTTCCCCCTTTCTGGAGTCTGTTTTCTCTCTGTACAATAAACTAACTGAAAATGCTAGAATTTTCAAATGTAATAGAATTTGAGCATGACAATAATGTGAGAAAACTTAGAAGTCTCAAACTATGTATATTTCTTTGAGTTTTCAAAGTAAATCAAATTACAGCTGTTTTCATTTGACTATCTTGTGTAAACCTATGGATATTATTGTAAAATGCACACGCATTACACTGACTTTTTAAAAATGTTTTGAATTAATAAAGAATCCACCCGTATATCCTTAACAAGTTACTGTTTTCTCATTGGTGTAACATTATAGGAGTCAAAGGTACACTTACTTGTATTATTTAAGTTGCTGGGGCATCTGAGGGAAAATAATTCCTGACCAGATTCTTTACATTCTATAAGGTGATTGTTTATTACATGTTCGCACCTTTTATAAATAAAAGTCAATTCCTGAAAGGACTTGATTTGAGAATTTAGCTGGGAGGTTTATCCTGTTGAGTTCAAATGACTCCTGCCATTTCCACGGCTTAAGAAACACCCTCCACGTGTTGCCGGGGGAAAGAGCTGTTTCCGAGAAACAGCCTGACCGGCCTGTTATCAGATCAGAATTAAAACGGGTCTTAGCCGCCGCCTGACCGGGAAACAATTTTATAAAGCGGCGCGGCTTGAACACACCGGCGGAGACTAAGCACCAAGGTGGTGAAGCGGCCAGGCCGCCGCCGCGCCCGCCCCGCGCTCGCCCCTGGAGCTGGGGCGCGAGGGGAAGGCCGGCCCATTTCCTAAGGTTTTATACTGTCCTCAACAGTTTTGATTAGAGGACTTAAGGATGACTTGACCTTGTCAAGGGCATATTTTACTTTTTTTTTTTTTAAAGAATAAATTCCCAGCTTTTCGGGCGTTTGAGCGCCCCGAGCAGTGAAAGATCTCGGAGCGCGGGCACCCGGCTCATCCCCTCGGACCCGGCCTCCGGGTGTGGAAAGCGAGGTCTCCAGCACCGCCGGCGAGTCCCGCGGGGGGGGGGCCGGGCTCCCGGGGGTCATCCCTTCGGACCCGGCCTCTGGGTGTGGAAAGCGAGGTCTCCAGCACCGCCGGCGAGACCCGCGGGGGGGGCCGGGCTCCCGGGGGTCATCCCCTCGGACCCGGCCTCTGGGTGTGGAAAGCGAGGTCTCCAGCACCGCCGGCGAGACCCGCGGGGGGGGCCGGGCTCCCGGGGGTCATCCCCTCGGACCCGGCCTCTGGGTGTGGAAAGCGAGGTCTCCAGCACCGCCGGCGAGACCCGCGGGGGGGGCCGGGCTCCCGGGGGTCATCCCCTCGGACCCGGCCTCTGGGTGTGGAAAGCGAGGTCTCCAGCACCGCCGGCGAGACCCGCGGGGGGGGCCGGGCTCCCGGGGGTCATCCC